AGAGAGAGAGAGAGAGAGAGAGAGAGAGAGAGAGAGAGAGAGAGAGAGAGAGAGAGAGAGAGAGAGAGAGAGAGAGAGAGAGAGGTTGAGCGATACAAGATTGGGTTACCACGTACCTGCTGCGCTATAGCCCAGGAGTCCAGCACGACAGTGAGGGATTATTTTTTATTAGTCATCAATACTCATCATCTTTCCTTTCGAAATAACAGTCAATATATCGTCACAAACAGAACTGCCCGGTAAAGCGTAGGCAGAGAGAGAGAAGAGGACAACAAATGAGGGGCTGTGACAATATAGTAATGAATTAATAACATACATATTACATATTGTATTCTTGTCACATCTCGCTAAAAACTAAAAGAGCGCACTTCGTGCAAAACAAACAGTAAACATACAGAAGACAAGCATGAAGAGCACATTGAAAATTGAAATTGAAACCGTTCTTTCGAGATCATTTTACTTTTTTTTTTTACCTATTAATTCTACAAAACAATAAAACCGCATTTGTTATCAGGTTGGAGATTTTTGCGCTTCTGCAAAAATATGATGTGGAAAAAAAAAAGAAAAAAAAAAGGAGAAAACATACCTCCCATATGGGTGCAAGCGACTGCACCATTTTTGTCTGTCGGGATGCCTGCTCGAGAGGAATGCTGACAATCTCCCTTCTGTTCAGAATATCTGGCAGAATAAAGAAGGCGCATTGATTGTTGATGCTGTCAACAAAAAAATTACCCAGTGAAGGGGTAACCCAGTGAGGGAGAGAACTGAGAGGAGAGAGCAAGAAGATTAGGGGTTTTCCCACAAAAATAAAGAAGGAACACCGCATTGAGATTTCCAAAACAACCAGCTCATTATACAGGTACTGGACTCGAACAACAAACTTCTGTTAGCGTCTTCCCCTGAATAGAACGTAAAATAGTAGGTACAGGTTCATTATCGCTGTATTATAGTGTATATACTATATAGATATATAGATTGAAAGTTATACTGAATACAGCTATCATGGCCATACGTCCACAAGCGGTTAACAGGGACCAGGCTACAAGCGGCGGCCGGCCGTGCAGGCGTGCAACCGGGCCGGTTGGATCCGGCCCGGTCCAACCGGCCGGTTGCCGGCACAGCCATGGTTTAAAGGGGGTACCTTAGTTTTGTTTTTTTATTTAGTTTTTTTTAATGTTCGATTCTCTAAGGTATTCTAAGATGACCCTCAGCCAAAAGTTGTTAACCTTGCAATTCTTTTTTTTTTTCACAAAACTACCCTATGTTCTTCTCTCAAATTCTTTTTGCCTTACACTACCTCCCTACCACTAGACCTAAGACTATATCGAGGGGAGGGTCCCCTCTATAAAGTCTTACCTTGCAATTCTACACAACGTAGGTTTTCAACTTTTTTCCCAGTTTTTTTTTTTTTTGTTGTTGCTGGGGCTGCATGGGATCCCACCCAGAATTCCCGGGCGGCTGGGCGGACAGGCGTGTGTTTGGCCACAAAATTGGTGCCCGGGTGCACGGACAAACAGCCTAGCTATACGTTACATTTGCAGAAGACAGTACCATTCCACAAACTTCCAATTGTAAGTTCCAGAGTGCAATGAACCTGCCCGGACTGAGGGCTCGATCCATGACCAACACACAAACTTTCTCTGATCAGCATGCATGAGGAGGACACCAGACTATAAAGCAGAATTGAGAAGACCGAGGTCAGACCAATAAAAGATTGCACAAAGCGCTGAAGTCTCTTGATGGTGACAGCCCTCTTCACGCCTCCAACCAATCAATATGACAAAAGAGCAGTAGTCCATGACTTGCTCCTGGTAAATCTACCAAGCCGTTGAGACAGCCTATCTCCTACTTCATATCCTAGCCCATACTACCCACGCAGCATGCCGCAAAGCTGAGTCCCATTTCCACCGATGACCGCTTGCTGAAGCTCCTCCCTGTCGACCACCGCGTAAAAACCTCACAACCGATCCGCATGGCCTTCCTCACCTCCCAAGGACCTCCGCTCTCCCATCGCCACCTTTACTGCACAAGGAGCCCGACCAGCTATAGCGGCTATCTTCTTCCCCAGCGCACACCGCTATGGCACGAGGCGACTACACGATCGTTACCTTTCCACACACACGCTTTGACTTAGCTCTTCCCGCTCCTCTTCCTCTCCCTCTTCCTCCTCCTCCTCCTCCTGCTCCTCTTCCTGCTCCTTTTCCTCCTCCTCCTTCCCGTCGTCACCACTACCACCACCAACCATTATTATTGCCATTGTTCTCATCACCGACATCGCTGTCATCATCAGTGATTTTAAGTGATTTACAATCATCATTTTCATTTCCACAATTGATTGTCATCAGTCCTATGCTCCTCCCCATCGCCATCATTCATCAAGAGGCATTACCATCGTCATGATTACCACTATCATCAACACATTCTGTATGTCATCTGCTCTGACAATGGTCATCATTGCCACGATCATCATCATTCTCATCATGATCGCAATTTCTTAACAATTCGCAACATCTGATTTGAGACTTACATTACGAAAATATATCATCAATCGCCATTGCTTTCCTTACTATTCACCATATCATGTTTGTTCCTGTGTCTTAACATGGATGTGTGTTGCCGCACATACCTTCAACGGCAGCATCTGCCTCAAGCTCACAGCAGCTCTGTCTTGGAGGTCCTCCCTGTTGTGTGCTCTGTATCTCATTGCTACGATGCAGACTCCCATCCATCCAAAGCATTTCAAGTGGTACATTTCCCCTGAGCCACTGCCTGAAGCCGCACTTTTCTTGAGGTTGAGCTCTCCCAACCCTTTCTTTATCACTCTTTTTGAATCCTTCATTGTTCGTGCTAGTCCTGTTGCTGCGGTGTGGGTCCTTCCCTGCTCCTTGCTGACCAATAGCTTCTGCAGGACTTTCCAAGGAGGGGGTTTTGCGGTCCAATGAATGTGCTGGGGAAGGCAATGCAGATGCTGGCTCTGGCGCATTTGCACTTGGTTGATCGCCGTCTGGAATAGGTAATCGAAATTTCACCTTCGACAAATGAATGAACCCCATGCCGTAAACATTGTAATCAATCTGCAAATTTCACATACCAAGCAACCACAATGCACAAATCGCAGTTAAAAGCATTTACCGACTGCAGCCACGTACTTTTTACCTGCACTTTAACTACGCATTTAAACCACCAGTTCGACCCTCCTCCTCCGAGAATTTCGAAGGTGTACCAGCATGAATGGGACCAGTTCCATTCGCTCAGGTTCAAAAAAGATAGGTTTCACCATTTACTAAAAATTTAGGGTCTGCCGTACTGGCGGACTAAAGGGGTCGGAGGGGTGAAAGCTCTTAGGCTTTGGCTTTTCACTGGTGCAGCCAGGCACTACTACTGCCGGTTCCGTTTATTTTGCTCTTGTTCGCGCCTTTTCTCATTGTTTTCAACTTTTCAACTTTTTTTTTTTACCCCACTTTTAAGCTATATTCCAGGGCTGGTCCCCGGATGGACCGGTGGGCCCTCCCCCAACCAGAGCCTGCTGGTTGGACTGGGCGGTCGACCAGCCCGGCAGGCCCCCAGTCGACCCCAGCGCATCATGCTGGGGAAGGGGGGAGGGAGGGGCGGGGGGGGGGGGGGGGGGGGGGGGGGTACCAGGGACTTTGGGGCATCCCCGTGTTCTCCCAGCCTCTGGGAAGCCGCCGCCTTGAATTAGGAAAACCGGGGCCGGGGGACACCGCTTTTTCGAACAAACACACAGCGGTGAGATCCGCCGCGTGTTTCTTCAAAAAAGTGGGGCTGCCAGCCCCGGGTTTTCAAATTTGAAACGCTCGGCGGTTGAAGTCGGCCGCATTTCAAATTTGAATGCGCCCCTCCACAGTGCCCCCTGCCAATCCCTGCAACCCCCACTCTGACCGCCTCGCGGCAACATCAAGCTTGAACACCAGCCCACCATCGCCTTCGCCACGCAAGCCAGCCATCTCACTGCGCCAGCCCACGATCGAAAAAAGCAAGGTAGTTTTTTTTTGTTGGTTCTTCTTCTTCTTCTTCTTCTTCTTCTTCTTCTTCTTCTTCTTCTTCTTCTTCTTCTTCTTCTTCTTCTTTTGCTTCTTCTTCTTTCTTGTTCTTGTTCTTCTTATTCTTCGTTTTTCTTGTTCTTGTTCTTGTTCTTGTTGTTCTTCTTCCTTCGTCAGGGTTCTTGGGGGGGGAGAGGGAGAGAGAGAGAGAGAGACTGCCACCTCCTCTTACTCCTCCCCCTTCTACAGCGCCGTTTCCTCCTCCTCTTCTTCTTCTTCTTCATCTTTTTCTCCTCCTTTTTTGTCGCCTTCTTGGAGAGAGAGAGAGAAACCGCCTCCTGCTCTAGTTCTCCCCCTTGTACAGCCCCGTCACCTCCTCCTCCTCCTCCTCCTTTTCCTTCTTCATCTTTTTGTCCTCCTTTTTCGTCGGCTTCTTTGAGAGAGAGAGAGACCACTTCCTACTCCTCCTCCTCCTCCTCTTCTTTGTCTTCTCCTTCTTTTTCTTCTCCTCCTCCTCCTCCTCCTCTTCTTCGTCTTCTCCTTCTTCTTCTTCTTCTCCTCCTCCTCCTCCTCCTCCTCTTCTTCGTCTTCTCCTTCTTCTTCTTGTTCTCCTCCTCCTCCTCCTCCTCCTCCTCCTCTTCTTCGTCTTCTCCTTCTTCTTCTTCTCCTCCTCC